AAAAACACTCAAATTTTGTAGTTTTTCTCTTATAACCGGAAGTTGACGTTGACGTTGTTTCTTGGGACCAACATATTTCGAAACTACAAAAGAGATCTAATAAAATTTAATATGGGTCTTTAAAAAGATTTTTTATTTATGAAAAAAAAGAGCACAGAATTCACAAAGAGAAAAAAAAGTTCAACATCATTGATAAAGATGAAAACGTAAATTTAAGCAAAAAATTCAGATTTAGTCGGGATTAAACCAAGATCGGCTGCCCAAAAACAGCTAGGTTCACTTTATGCATAAAATAGCCCTGTAGATATACCAATTTATTGACTAACACTTTATGCTCCATTTTAAACATGAAGATGAAGTAGAGACTTAGTGCTTTCGTTTCCTATTAAAAGTTTTCTCCTTAAAGCCAAGGTCTTGGAAAACAGGCTTCATGGAATTGCAATGTTCTTGAATTTTAAGGAAAACAAGTATATTTAAGTACTTTCACAGAAGAGAAATAATATGTGCGCACCCTCTGATCTGAAAAATAAAACAGGTTTTGTAATCCTCAGAAATAGTACTATCATTTAATAGTTGCATATTTAAGATCAGAGGTTACGCCCTATATTAAATATCGAAAAATAGCTTTAAAAATTGGCTGTTTTGTAGAAATTTTCAGGATATGAGGAAAATGACGCATTTCATGACGTCTTAATGCATATGCAAGCCAGAAAATTACGTCATTTTTTATAGATACGCAGTCATCAAAGGTCTAAATGAAATTTAATGCATTGTCAACTAAAACCAAGCAGTTTCAGTTTTTCTGAGTTCACAGGGCCAAAAAAGGCCCTAAGTGAACCTTGTTCTTTAATATTGAAACCACTACACTAGCGCAATGTACCAGCCATCATCGATGTTTACCTTGCACTCTTTCCCTGAAGTAACGAGTGTCAGACAGGTTATTTTTTTTTCTTCTAGTGTGGAATTATAGGATGAAAATTAGCCAGCTAAATTTTGTGCAAGTGCTAATAGATTTACATCGGATTTGTTACTTGAGTTTTAACAATAACTGATAGCAGAGAAAATAATCTGTTACTAATAAAAACTAAAAAAAAAAACTATTGTGTTTACTTCCTTTTTTCTTTATGCATTCAACTTTCTATTCTATGCAATTCCAAATACAGACATGTCCGTGTAATCTTTTTCTGTACTTCTACACTACTGCATCAGACCATTTGTGAAAGGCGGGTCACGATACATTATTTCGCGCCAAACTTCACGAGTAAATCTTCGCGCCTTTTCTTTGAAATGTGTCTTCAATTGAATAAGTGTACGTGATAGCTTCAATGAAATTAAAAAAATATATGTTGCTATAGCCTGATTTTCGAGCCTAAGAATGTTTATTTATCACACTGTACATATAACATATCGTATACGGGCAAGTAACATAAAGGCAGCGCTAAGTTTTCTTACACATTTCATATTCCTCTTTACCCCCAAAGTGGATTATTCCAATAAGTGAAACATTAATGAAAAGACTGGAATGTTTTGCAACAAAACACGTCTCGCCATATGACGCTTAAGGAATCTGATACCTATTATGTTTGGTAACTTGCATCTATAAAGGAATATAACCCTACTAAAATCAAAGAAAAATATTGAAAAACGTAAAAGTTGAAAAAATTGACTTTTTAAATTCGCTTCCGGTAGCAACCGGAAGTACTCACGACGCACGAAAAGGCAAACCCGCATATCTACAAGTCATGTTCTATGCTCTCCAACAAGTCTCCAGTTCATATCTATAGCCGTTCTTTAGATCTCGCGCGGATAAAATTTCATTTCAAAATCAGAAAAATGTCCATAACTTGGAACCGGAAGCGAATTTCTCCAAAATTCTTTCAAATGTAACAATGGCATTTGAAAGCGCATTATCCCTGAAAGTTTGATGAAATACCACTGAATAGTTCTCGAGATATTGCGTGCACAAAATTTGTCTAAAAAATAAGAATAATAATAATAATAAGAAGAAGAAACAGTAGAATCACTATAAGGTCTTCCGTGAAGACGGAAGACCTTAATAATAATAATAGAAAACAAAAGGAAAACAATAAGGTCTTCCGAAGGAAGTCGAAAGACCTTAATAAACAGTACAATCACTATAAGGTCTTCCGACTGAAACGGAAGACCTTAATAATAGAAAACAGACGGAAAACAATAAGGTCTTCCGAAGGAGTCGGAAGACCTTAATGAGTCTTTTTGAAATTAAACTTAAACAGAGAAGTAACATTTGAGAAAAAAATTCAAGGAATTCTTTTTTATCAATGTGACCAAGAAGGATAATAAAAAATGAAATTAAAAAAAAATAAAAATAAAAAGAGCTATGCATAACAATTTTATTTCTGAACGACAGTTTTTATTTTAACAAAATGTCCAAATCTTTTGCAAGGTTTCAAATTGAGAAATTTCTATTTTAGTAGGCACAGGAACATCGAATATATATAAAAAAGCAAATGAAGTTAATTTTTGTGTGTAGTTTAATAGTGAATAAAAACAACGCTTTATTGAAATCTGACCAAAACTGAAGGAAAAGAAACGTTTTGAAATTAATTTTTTTTTATAAGCAAAAGTCAAGCAGATGGAGGACTCTGTATGTTAAAATGTCGTATAATATCTTCGAAGAAAATAAAATCAAAAGAAGAAAAAAGAAAGCCTTAATACATATAGATTTATTTCTTTTAATATTTATATAACTATTGTTGTAAGAATACATATACAGATAAAGTGATCTTAAAGGGAATAAAAAGTTCTCTGTCACATGTATGTTTTCTAATAATTTCTAAAGAAAAATAATAGAATGTTCATGAAATTCAAAGGATGACCTTGCAAGATTTTCATCAACATACAGTAGCGTATCCACTGAGTCTCTATGAAGGCTTCACATAAGGGTCTGTCATTTGTATATATGTGCCTTGAGTTGTCTCTGCACAAGGACTTAAGTAATGATCATTGAAGTCTTCTACAGGTTTAGGTCCCTTCATGTTTTCATGTTCCATCATTTCGGCTATAGTGTTGTATTCTCCAGAGCTTGGTCTGTCAAAATCTCTTTGATATTCTCTGTTCATAAAAGTAGAATACTGATTTCTCTCGGACATGACTGAGCTTTCGTAGTGAAGCCTGGTAAATGAAGAAGAAATCATTTTGTTTGTTTGTTTGATTTTTTTGAACAGATATCCAGTTACAAAATTTCATTACTAACCCTGTTGGCTTTGTTGTTTTCCGGAGATGAATGACTCGACACAGAACAATGAAGACTATCAAAGCCACCAAGACTCCAAATCCTATTCCCATGTACACGTACAAAAAACTGCCGTTCCTTGAATCAGGTTTGGATGTCGATATATCTGTCAATGGTGCGATAGACAATATATAAAATACCATTTCTGTATTAACATAAGTTTTGAAAATATTACCTTGAAAGGTAGAGGGAAAAAAGTAAAAAATCATTTTCTGTATAATGCATTTGTTTTAATATGTCAAATGCATTAGAAAGTGGGAAAAAATAATAATGAAAATAATATTTAACACTTATTTTTATTTTGACTCATTCAATTATTTTAACTTAAATTTAAATAATTTATCTGAGAAAATATTTGAATCGTACAGAGACATAAACCGCTGGTATCATGATTCCAATCTCCAGTGGAATTACAGATGAGGTATTCCGGAGTGGCACGGTTGTAGTTTTCTTCACAGGAGAAGTCACATGTTTCACCAACCTTTCTACTACAATCAAGAGCTAGTCTGGCATGATGAATGGAAAATGGACATAAAATTTCTGCAGAAAAAATTAGAAAATCATGCCTGAATATATATAATTTTTAAATCTTTTTTTCATAAATCTATTAAAAGTTATTGTATATTCATAAGTATTTTAGTTTTCTAAATTTAAGATGAATTAAAGGTTATTTTTAGGTTTGTAAAGCCACTATATAATTATGAAAGAAACGATAGTAAGGCAACTATCATACCACAGCATATTTGCTGCCTAACGTTTAAAGTTAAATGCGTAGAAAGTGTGCATGTTGCTTTAGGTAATTTAATTTTACTGAGCTCAAACGGCAAGAATCAAATAGAAGCGCTTTGATGTACATTGTGTCATTATTTTAAGTAGATTTCCTATTCGAGCCTTTTTAACGTTTACCTGTACAAACAAGATCAGTGTCTGGGCTCCACTGACCCGAAGAATTACAAGCGAGGATAGTGTTCGCCATCTGTTTAAAACCCGACTTGCACTCAAACTGACATGTTTGACCAGGATAAGGAAAACATTCCAGGAAATCCATATTTATGTGAGTTGTTCTACAACTTGGCACTGAAAGATGATAAAAGTGTAGAACATTTATTGAAAATCCTGTTATTTCTGAAGAGTATTGGAAGTTAAATAGTAAAGTCAGAGAAAGATCATTAAAGTATTTGAAAATATTTTTAGATAAATCGCTGGACGCCTTTGATAATGAAAAGCAGTTTTTTTTTTTAATTTAATTAAAAAAAAACAACTTCTCTATCAGAAAACTAGGGATATACGAGTATCCAATTAATCATTTATTAAATCTTACCTCCCGCGCAAATTGCATTATTTGGTTCCAAACTAACGTTTTCTTCACAACCACATGTTCTTCCTCCAGGAACTGGTAAGCAAAAGGTACTGCACAGACCATTCCTTACAGAGCAGCTCGTGTTCACTAGGGAAAAGTTTTACTTTAGACTTTCTATAGTTTTGTGACAAGAAAGACTAGGAAATTTTACAATGAAAAGAAGAAACATGCTTTCCTGCCTTCTGAAGTGTTTTTATATCAAAAAGGTTAGATTGGAAATAAAACATATAATTAATCTTTTAATGTATCTACTTTCTTCAGAGTTTGTGTTGGGGTATTTTTGTCAAAAAAATCATACATATGTAGTATGAAAACACCATTCCTTCTAGTTCATGTAACCTGTTATCTGTTATTCACATGCAAGCATTAATTACCATCAATGATGTCGTTAGAATAGATATCAATACTGTCAAGCCGTCCAAGCTCTGGGTGATTCTTCATAAAGGGAACTTCCGTTCCTTTGGTTTTATCAATTTTTGTTATACGTCTAAAATTTAAAAAAGAATTTGGCACGGTACAGCTATATATGTAATTATAACAAGATATTTGCAAATCAATTAGAAAAGCTATTATTTTTATAATGTATGTAAACATTGGATTATTCCCATTTATTAACTCTGTGACAACTGATCATTCAACTCTGTATTTCTATGCTCTAACATAGATGTTTTTCTTTTTGTGGATAATTATCTTCTCATGGATAATATATATATATATATATATATATATATATATATATATATATATATATATATATATATATATATATATATATATATATATATATATATATATTGGATTCAGCCTTTGCAGATTTCATCGTATTTTAATTAAGGTCATCAATTATGCAAAGATGATACAATTTATTTATTTCTTCCTCTTGTGAACTTACATTTCTATAATTTTATTTAATCAGAGACGAAAACATAATGTTATACGCAAATAGTCAAATGAACAGCATAATTAATTGTCGTAAAAAGCAAACGTAGGCGAAAGAATACAACGTTTTTTTGAACTACTTTTTACCCATGACACCAAATACAGTACCTAAATAAATAATACAGTTTACATAAATATTCCAAATCATTTTTTTTTTTATTTTTTAAAATTCAAATCCATTTATCGTGTTTCTAATTTTTCAGTTATTCTGAAAAGAAGGTAAAGTCACCGTTTAAATATAGCTATGTAAACACATAAAATGTAAAGAAATCTGCCGTCACGGTAGCGCTCGCTCCGTGATCAGAAGGTCGTGTGTTCGAATCACGGCTGCGACTGACTTAGTCGATAAAAAATAGATAGCAACTGTTCCTTCGCCAAGCGCTGGGTACTTTGAAGTGAAAGTTGTGGGTCATTCGGATGAGACCTTAAAAACCGATGCCCCGTGTCATGGTAGGCATTGGCACGATAAAGAACCCTCACTGCTCAATGGTCCTGGGTGCCGAGTAAAGGTCTAAATTTGAAGCCCTTCACCGGTATATGGTGACGTCTCTATATAAGTGAAAAATTCTCGAACGGGACGTAAAACAACAAACAATCAATCAATAAAAAATATAACGAGATTGTTATGTATCTTACTGTCTATTCCATGCCGTATAGTACAGAAACTGTCCATTTAACACAATGTCAACAAGTTGTGCATCCTTGTCGGTCATCAAAACGCGTTGGTTTCTTCCATCGAGATCCGAGTATTCTATCGTGTTCCTCTGACCATCAGTCCAGTAGAGTCGATCAGCTAAACAGTATTGCATGTAACTTGTCATATAGAGCAGCGTGTTTAAGTTTTTTTTCTGTTTTGTTAATTATGATCTATAAAAAAAAATATCTATCAAGCGAACATGAAAATAGAGAACTTAAAACCTAACTTTCAAAGTCCAAAGCTAAACCATTTAGGAATCCACCACTGATTGTTACTATGTATTCTTTAGAGGTACCATCCATGAATGCCCTTCCTATTTTGGAAACTTCCAAAGTCTCTGTCCAAAACAGTATTCTGAATGCAGAAGGCATTTAATAAAAATAGTTAATACGGATAATTAGTTCAGAGATACGTACCAGACCTGGTTTAATTAGACTCCGTAATAATTTAATAAAATAATATAATATGACTATTAATAACAAATACATACCCTTTTGCTGAATATAATACAATTGCTCTTGGATTTTGCAAGTCATGTATCAATATTTTGTGAACTAATTGTGTTCTGTGTAAAACTCCAACATAACTGCTATTTGGCTGAGAAGAAATTGCCGTGAAGTAAATGTTTCCGGTTGATTGGTCAACTGCCATACGCTCAGCATAAGCAAAGCCTTGATAAAACATGTAAACAACAAACATTGCTCGATATGTTCATAAGTTTTCATAACGGTTGTAATTATGACATTAAAAACTCTTTATAAGGTTCATTATTACACAAATTACATATGTATTTTCAATTTGTTACATTACACATACATTGACTCTCTCTCTCTCTCTCTCTGTTCAAAAAAATATTCTCATATTTGATCCCCTAAAATAAGGACTATTAGTAAAAAAAAAAACACATTTTCATATACACCCATTTTATATCAATTTTGGAATGGGCAGGAAAAATATAACAAATGTTCAAATACCTGTTACAGTTGTCAAGGTTGATTGTTTTCCTTGAAGAGAAAATACTTGTACTGTTCTCGAAATTGAATTGGAATGAATTATCTCCTTTGTCATTTTATCTAAAGTTATTCCTGAGGTGTGTTGTACATTGATTGGTAGTTTCACAATTTCTTCTGTATTAAAATTGATCTGTAGAATTCGTCCATGGGTGAAATCAGACACAATTATGAAATCTGTATTCTGAATATCTACAAATTAAAGAAAAAAGCTTCAGACACCACAGATTCTGCTAACTCTGTTTCATATTTGGTTTTTTTTTCTCACTAAAGACGATAAGGACCAACTTACAACTAAATTGTATGAAAAACGTTATCACCTGCATAAATTATGAGATTTATGTCTGCCAGCTTTGGAAGTTTTATAATAGCAAAAATAACCTTTCATTGGGTCGTACTTTTTCTGACTTATTCATACCGATTGATGGGCCTTTTTTCTGTTTACTAAATTTGACTATGTGATCAGTACATGGACTCTCGGTGGGTGTCGACAGGGATTCTTTCTCTTCCTAAGCATCTGAACCACCTCTGACATTTCCTGTGGTTCGTGATTTTATTTGGTTCGAACACTGTTCTTTATGTTCATTTTGCAAGTGTACCATTCTTTTTTTAACGGATAAAGATGGGAGTACTTAAGCATGTGTTTTATCTTTCTTAAAAGTACAAAGTACCTTTAGGAACCTCAAAGAGAATGCCGTGGATTATTCAATGACAGTCATAATCAACTATGGATAAAAATGACTGTGAAAGGCACAAATGCATGTATAACAACTTTTGATCAGATTAGAACTGTCTTGCAAGATTATACAAAACGTAAGGTAATCATGATTTAAAGGGATTTATAAAATATCGTTGAACTTCAAAAGATTTATTGCATGTTATTAAACTCTTCTTAGAATTTTGTTTTAAGGGGAGAAAGGACACACGTCTCATGACTCAATTGACATCATAGTCTCTGTTGATATATATGCTAAACGCTGTTAAAATAACCAGTTTTTGTGTAATTTGTTTAGCTTCAACAATTTATATAAACATATTTATTAGTTTTTTTAAGATCATGTCGATATTCACAAATTGTGAAATTGATTGATTCACCCATCCATTTCTTTTCGCTGCCGTCTAACATACCAGTGACGTCATGTATGAATTGATCAAGTGCACGTTGTTTACACGGTCAGTTTTATTTCATAACAACAGATCACAGTGAATGCATCGTGATGGATTTTTTGAACCAGGAATTACAGTTATAAATTTTGCATGTTTGGTACGTAGCTGATATTCTCTGTATTTATTTTGAATTTTTCTTGTTTAAGTTTTCGCGTGATGTCACATGTACAGTCGTTTTACTCGTACTCGGAAAATGTATACGTGAAGGGTTTTTATTATGGTTATAACTTGTGTCCTGTGTGATACTGAGGTAAGCATTGATAACAGTTAATTATTACGACGAAGGACTTCAGTTCAATAATAAATTTTAAAATACTTATGACCGGATTTTTTCTTTCAGTATGAGTTTTTTGTCTTTGAAGCTGCCTTGAAAAGTGCGTAAATTATCCCACCCATATACAGTCTAAATTTTAAAAAAATGCTTTAAGAAGACTAAAACTTTACCAATATTCTTATTAATTATTATTTGTGCGATAAATCACATTATAGACTCAGTAATGGACCCGAAAACATGAAGAATCGAAACTTCATACACACATTATACGGTGCTGTATTTGTGTGGCAATATCTTTTAAATAAGTCAAGAAATCTGGTGACAGAACTGTTTTAAGATGTTTAAGACATACTCAATATACATTATCAATATCATATACAATATACATTATCATATACACAAAATATGAAAAAAATACTGATTGGCTAGATTTTTTTTCACCTCAAAGTTCTGATCCTCTTTGAATATATCAGAAAAGATTTTTATATATAATTGAATAAACTTATATATCTGTTTAAAGAAGAAGCAAAACATGATTTATCGAACAAGATTCTTTTATTACCTCCATGTTTTTCATTTGACATTATTCAACATTGGACTTATCGTAACTGGTAAAAAAATAAATATATCAGACTACCACTCTTAAATATAAATACTCACTACTGTCACATGACTTTTGATCTGCTTGAAGTTGTAAACCAATATCGCATCCACATTTACTTTCGGTTTCTGAAGGAATACAAATATCATCACATCTTCCATTGAGAATTTTACAAGTGCCTACAAAATAAAAAAAATACAATACAAAGATTAATTCAGATGTTTTATCACTGAAAGAAAAAAAAGTACACTTGGGTGATTAAGTAGTTATTACATACTGAAGATAACATGCATTATAAGGGTGAGCATTTCAAAAATATTATTTTTGTGAAGGATAAAAAAATTTTAAAAGTACGGAAGCCCATTGAGGCCAGTTCAGAAAAAGAAATATTTCTTATTGTCACTAGTGTTTAAAATCAATTATCATTGCAATTGCACGCAAAATTTTGCGTTTAAACACAATAATCATTGCGTTTAAACGCAAAGATTGCATTTAATTGCAATGTATAATCTTTGTGTTTAAAGGCAATTATTAATATAAACTTGCTGAGCACAATGGCCCCAGGCATTATTTCTTTCTCGGATTTACGTATTAGGAAAGTGTGTATTGTCTAGCTTTATAGAATCAGCAGGAAAATTTATACAAGAGACATAATGCAGGGCTGTAAAAACAAAGGCAACCAAAGGACGAGACAAGTCCTAATTTAAACTTATTAGACCTCGATATTCTTAATGAAAGTTTGGTCAGTTGCTTACAATCACCAATCACATTTTCTCTTTTGTAATTTTTTCTACTTTGAAACAATTTCAGCAAACAAATTGAATGGATCTTCTAAATAAAAGACCCAAGAAGGGAAAAAAGTGAAAAAACTATCCTCAACATTGCGGTTACAAAGTTTAACCCTTGTATAAAGGGGTTCAGGAAACGACTGATGAAGTGTTAAAATTACGTAAAGCATGATGAAGTATTTAGACTTCAATGTATATTCACAACCCTTCCTATGGTTGCATATACAATAAACACGAGAACATAGGTGATGAAATCATACGAAATCAAATTTAAAATCAAATGAAAACAGATTGGTAAATGTGTACTATCAAACTGACAAGTGCTATCAATACCACTGAAACGTTCTTAATTACAATTAGTTGGGATATGTAAGCAGTTGATCAAAGACTTCATTAAGAGTGGTTTACTCTGTTAGGATGCCATTGTTTTACTACAATTCTCAAAAACAGGAACAAGGTGCAAAACGACACAGAATTTGCATAGAGATATTAATCTTTGAACCAATAATCGCCTACAATAAACACAAAAACACAGGGGAAACAATAATCCAGTTATACAAAAAATGCTAAATAGGATCAGGTGGATTTGAGGAGGGAAGGGTCTTAAGTGCACTTTATAAACCGCTGAAACACTCTTCGCTTCCATGATAACGAATTTATTAAAAAGCAAAAACAAAAACAAACAAACGGTTCTTTAAGGTGTCGGATCCCAGTAATTATGTTTTGGCTTATTGATGTCTGGTTTTAAAACTGAAATATCATTGTTTTTAAATGCAAAACGAATCCCTAAAATAAAGGATTATTGCGTTTTAATGCAAAAAGTATTGCGTTTAGACGCAAAAGTTCTTGTCTTAAAACTCAAAATTTCTTGCGTTTAAACGCAAACTTTTGCGATTAATATAAACGCAATGAAGATAATTGCGATTAAACGCAATGAAGATTATTGCGGTTAAACGCAATGTTTTGCGTTTAAATGCAATAATAATTGCGTTTAAACGCACTAACAAATATTTCTTTCTCTGATCTGACCTCGACTGGCTTCCGTACAAAAGTAAAAAAAAAAAATATAATTTGGAAACAGAGCAGACATAGACCATTAAAACATCAGAGGTAAATCAGGTGCAATGGAGAAGTAAGCATCCCCTGTCGACCAGTCTCGCCGGCAGTATGCCCTTTGTTATTATAAGGTAAACGGGAAAAGATAAGATTTTATTAAATCTGGAAAGAAAGAAAAAAACTACTACACGTCCATAGAATTTTAGCGTCTAATTTCATGCTTCTCATTTATTCTATAATGCTCCCTTTACCCTAACAAAAATTCATTATAGTTAAGTATAAAGAGGATATTCAATGTTTTGTAGATGAATATGCTTCGCACTCTTGAAAATGTAAATCAAAATCCTGTCCCACTCGTGAAATAAATTCCATATTCATCTTCAAAACATTGAATTTTCTGTTTATAACATTTTCTTGGGAATTTGGGAAGGAAAATCAAGAGTTTTGTCGCACTTCTGATATTCTCACACTGTGAGAATACCATTTTGATATCCTTTCACACTGTGTCAGAATATTACTTTTATTCAATAAATAAATTACAGTATTTCACTGTTGAAAATGTAATAAATAATATATGTCACATGTAACTATTTAAGGAATAACTGTCTTATTTTTTGGATTCATGATGTGATTAATCGAGTGGCTTGCGTGATAATTTGCATAAACGCCGAAGGCGTTTATGCATAAAATTATCACGCAAGCCAATCGATTGATCATCGTCATGAATCCAAAAAATCTGAGTTATTCCTTATATTTACATGCCCCTGATTCTGCAAATTCCCGTACTAATAGCCCCGCTTCTCTCTCTATTTGTCCCGCCCCGCACGTGATTTTTTTTAACCGCGCCTATCGATGAACCAGTAGATTTATGTAGAAATAAAGTATTTTTACAATTTGTAATTTTATCTCGGACAAAGACATTGGAAATGTAAATATAGTTATATCAAAGTTGTCTCAAAGTCTTAACTATAGTGAATAAAAGTACTTTTCAGATTTGAAATTTGTGGATTTCAGATTGTAATATTTTATGTTCTATAGTTCATACATATATATTTGTTATATCAAATAGAAGTATTACTTGAATATTAACATATTAATTACAAATTACACATCATTGTTATTGAATTTAAAAGATTTTAAACATTTAAAATCTCAAAAAAATGTTCTAAACTAAGGTAAAGTTTCATAGTAAACTATAGTTTACTATAGTAAATTTTGTAAGGGTAATACCAATAACGGTATACATTTTACATTCCAAATTAGTTGTCAACAGATTACATATACCTCTCAAATCATCTTGTAGAGTTGGATCAAATACCCCAACCTCCATTGGGTTTGGAAATATATTGAAGTAAACTTCTGATGCAGACGATGTTTTGCTTGAAAAATGAATTTCCTCTCCACTTAGCCAGCCAATGAAATCCTAAAAATCATTTAAATGAGATTGGTTTCTTAGTTACTATTTTCATTTTTGCTTCAAAATCTACAACATATTATTAACTTCTACTGCATGTATTCATCTACTCGTAATATTCTGTACGCATTTAAACAGTTTTTGAACTTTAAAATATTGAATCATCTCATTACGCATCAGTACATAATGTTGGCTTACAAAAAATATTTTCCAATAATTTAATTATTTCAAACATACGATATTAAACATGTATGGATGATAAAAAATCTCTAAAATAAATAATTAAAACATGGTTTTCCTAGACATATATACGTTTTTCTTTTAAAGAAAACTTGTCAAGAACCTTGTAAATAAACAGATCTGTTGCACGAGAGGCTATGATATGACTTTTAATGTCTGTCCCGTTGGGCAGTGAACTTTTTACGAGTAGGCCACTCTCCAGCCAAAATAGCCTAAAACAGCAAAAGAAATGTTCTTATTACAAGTATTGTACATGTATTAAGAAATGAAAAAATATTCTAGATGAAGCATTTTTAATTTCTCATGATTTTCTAATCTCCTAATAGAATTTTCCCGCCTCTGGGTATATGTAGCAAGGAACACAATGTTCCATTAGTGAAGCAAAAATTCAAATATATGAACTTCCGATAAATGAATTTGATTGTTACCAGCAAGTATACATTTCCACTCACTTAACCTTATTAGTTAATTACAAAATATTACTTACTTATAATTAAAATGTATATATATTTCTTATATATGATGTGTCTAAAAATAAAAAAAAATCATAAATGAAAGTTTTAAGGGTACAGTTTCAGGAAAATACCTTTGACTTGTAGTGTCATATTTAAGGAACATCGGGTCATCTAAGTCAGATATAATGGTTTTTGGAGGTTTTCTGTACCAGGTTCCTCGTATTATAGAGTATGTAGTAGTTGAGATCCAGAATATCTCACTGTAGAAATAATGATGAATACTTTTTATAAAGAAAAAAAAACAAGAATACTGTATTATACTTTGGTGGTGAAGTTTTAGAACTGAAAGTTTGTATAAGGTCATATGCGCTGTGTAGCATCACAGATTTTCGTGCATGGTGTTTTGAGTCACAGGATAATTTTATAATAGAACTTAAAATGAAAATAAAAAATAACTTTATAAAGAAATACAATCGAACACATAGAAATTAAAGCATAAACAGCTTTAATCCAATCATATATATGTTTTCATAAACCCCAATACAAAGTTTCTTCAATAAACCTATACAGATAAAGAAACAATGGATATGTTCAACTTAGTGAGTTAATTAATATTAATAAATAGTTGTTACAAACCCATTAATTGCGTCAACCGTAAGTGATATGGGTTGCTGAAGGTTGGTGTAAACTGTTGAAGCAGTTCCGTTGTTAAGAGAAAAAGTTCTAATTGAAGACTGGTTAGGTTCAATCCAACCAAGCAAATTAGAAATCCAATCATAATTTAGATCTAAAAGGAAAAAAAAAGAGAAATGGTTGTGGCTTTACATGACATTTCCAGCGCTATCGAGAGATAAGGAAATGCAAAAATCCCCGTTAGTGCATCATTTTAATACCAAAAGTTTCTTAGGTGCGCAAAAGAGCAATAAAGAAATATCATTCCAACAAGAAGCAAGACCCTTGAAAAAGACTTTATAAATTGCATAAAAGCAGTTTTATATATATTTTCTTCTTTCCTTAAATCAGTTCCTTTGTTCCTGCTTCGACATCATGTTAAGAAGACCTTCTTATCGAAAAACACCTTCATTCTAAATTTCCTTTATGTGAAAACTCCATTTAATATTTTAGCATACCTGTTACGGGATTAGTAGAAAGAAGAGTTGAATAACGTTTCGTAAAAATGTCTAGTGTGTATATTTCATTCCTTTTGGCGTCAGCGAAGTAAATCATTCTTGATTTTGCGTTAATGGCAAACGTTGTCATTATTGCTGTAGGAATCTGAAAATATGGAACCCTCCCCGCTTGCCCGTTTAATGCTCTGGTATCCAACATATAAAACACAGTGGCATTATTTACGATAATTCCCTTGTCATAAAACCAGGATCTCTCTGAAATAAAAGTATAAATGACACAGACCAACAATAACATTTATAATACACAATATATAAATTGAAGAAATTGCATTTTTTGTGAAGGGTGGGGATGGGGGTGTCACAAATGTGTTTGACATATATGTATTTATAATTATACGTTACATACCAATGCAAGAAGAACTATCAGTTCCAAGTACATATCCTTCAGCACAGAGGCATTTAGGACCTGATGGAGTGTTGACACAGATGTGCTGGCAATACTGAAGAAAACATGGATCTAAGTAAGAAGTAAGTGAAATGCATTACCGACTTATTATATTTACCATAGAAACATTCAGATCTCAATATCTCATTAAGGAAAAAAGGAAATTCACTGTTTATGGTTATTTGTAAATGATTTATCTGTATAGAATATTCATTGATGACCGACAAGACAATCACAAACTTACAGGGTACCAGGAAACAGTCAAACTACTCAATATACACGTAATAAGATAAAATATCGAAACATTATCAACTTTATAATTAATTTGAATTCTTGAATATATATAATTGACGTAGCTACCATTCAGAGTTTTGTTGGTTTCCCCATCATAAATGGCTAGAGTAAATGGATCGCCGATTTTTAATGAAACATCATACAAAACTTCTCCTGAAGTAACGTCAATACCCACAAGCTTTCTTCTACTAAAGCTAACACTGTGTATCACATTCTGTCAATAGATAATCTCATGACTGTACCAATACGCTTCCATACTATCAAATTTTACAACATTTTTTAAATAATACCAGAACAAGGGAGAATGCAACAATTCATGAATCCAATTTTTTCTCGAATTTTTATTCACCCCAGAAATAAAACAATACCTCAAAGTACTGTATCCCGGTGAGAGGTATATCAATCATACGTCTCAGAACTCTTCTGTTGGACCCATCATAATCACAAACCTCCACTGTTTCTCGACCAAAGTCAGCCCAATACAGCAGGTTATTTTCAGTGTCCGTGGAAAGGGACATTACTCTTAACAAACTACTGTATATGACAACAGATCTTTTCTCTCCATCTAAGGATGCTTTTTCTATTCGACAATTCGGTGAGTTCTCGGAAAAGAATAGCAATCTAGAATACAAGATGATAAAAGCTAAAGGCATACGTATTTTTGTTAGATGTGGATGTATAAGAGACATAATGCCAACCTTAAATTACACTAACCCAAGAAATATTTCCCTATACCTTAATATTTTTTGTTACCATAATGAATGTTACTCTCATGGACAAGCAGTCCTAATCACCCTCCTGTCATCAAAAAGAACTAGTTTTATCATATACATGTACTTATTGATATCAATAAATTAAAAAAAAAAAAAAAACAATTAAAAAGAGTACGTTTTATTCAAAACATTTTTGGCACATAATGATAACCTTTGTTGTCGGATAAACATATATCCAAATTCATACGTCTTTGTATTATTAAACGCATGCCCATCCTCATGTAAGTATAAAGAAATTCATTCCAATAATCATGGTGATATGAACAATTACCCATCCGTCTCCTCGTTGACACTTATAATCTCAAACCCATCTTCATATTAGTTATCATAATTACATACCCATCTTCAGGGTCCAGTGCCAAGCCCTCTGGCTGCTCCAAGTGTTTATCAATTATAATTTTGTACATTGTATTTGTATTGTTCATATCCAGAGATTTCATAGCTATCCAGTTGAGAAATCCATCGCACCAATATAGATTGTTTGATAGATGATCAAATGCAATCTGGCCAAAAGCATACGACTTTCCACTGAATACCAATGAAAAGGTTATAGATTCATTCTGCCAAATACTGTAATTGTTAACTGCATAGATTTCCCTTCCGGCGGATAAGAATAAGAGTTTATTCCTAGGATCAGCTGCAATGCTTGTGATCTGTGTGTTGATTGGTGTCAACTCAAATGGGATCGTGGTAAAGTGATCCGATCCTAATGTTGGTATTTTTGTAATAGTAGACAGTGAAGCATTATTCCACACTCCCAGAACGATCCCTCTATCGTCAGCTATACAGGTACCTTTCAGATAATTTATATTGATGCATATTAAAGCTAAAAATACACGTAATATACCTAGCTGTTTTACTATCAGTACCAATAAAAAAAATCGCAGAAATTTGTTTTTCCTAAAAAGTAAATAAAACGAATCGAATTATCAAACAAATTAAATTTTTTGACGATCTGTAGTTATCGAAACTTTTATTTGTCATTTGGTTTAACTATTGAAATGATATCTACATACTACTTAAATACTTTAAATTTTGCTTAAAATCACCACTTCTTTTTTCCAAAAATACATAAAAAATACTTTCTCTTAATCCATTGATTTATTTCTAAATTCAAATTTAAAGTCATATTTATAAATGACATTTAAATATATTTCTTTCTGTCTTACTGACTTATTTCTCAATTATTTCACTAAATTAAAAAAGAAAATAGTTTTCCAAATAATGAAACATACTATTCTAACTTACATTGGCCTCGAAATTCATGTAGCAAGTAAACATACATAAGCAAACATCTGAACGCCATTGCCTTGTTTGTTACTTTACTAAATGATCGCCAGTGACAAGACAACGTAGATAACTATTTTTATCGTGAAAATGTGTGTATAATAATTTTTGTTATTGTAAAATGTGATGAACATCAAACGAAGTTTATTTGTCCATTATTAGTGGGTTAATTTATGTAAAAAGCTTTCGATGACAATCACTTTCAGTTTGAATGAGGTTAAAGTAAATCAATGCTAATTTTTTTTTAGTAAAGAATGTAAGGGGGTATATTTACATACAACTTCGTGAAAAGTTATAAATAACCAAGACAAGTATTTGAAATTTCTAAAATAGGTGGTAGTGCTTAAGGTATTCAATGTATAATGAAGGGATATTGAAAAATTCATACTTGACTGATTACACACGAGGCGGTCATTTTGCACTATAAATGTATTTGAAGAGTTATCTACCCTTAGCTAAAAGAAGAAAATTTTAATTTTGTAAAGATATCTGTGGAAAATTCATTTTATTTCATATTTTAATTAAGAGAGTGTTCATGCATATTTTTCATCAAGAGATTGGTATGAAGTTCAAATTACTTTTTACAATATCTTACTATTACATGCGCTGCCCGAAGATTTCAATGTAAACTAATTGGACAATCATCAAAATTTAGTAAATTCCCTTTGTGGAGTATATTTATTTTATACACTTTCAAAATTCTATCATGGTTAAAAATATCGGACCATTAAATTATTATGTATAAAATATGGTCGTTATACATTGGTTACCTTAAACAACTTTATTTAGAGTGAAAGAATATCTGAAAAGGTGCTGAAAGTCTGAAACTATAGGTAATAATTAGAACTCTACAAAAAGGTGTTCTTTTTAAAATAACTAAATTATTGTATTTTTATACATGTATATGCCTAATCCACTTCATCGTCCTTTTTGACTAATAACTTTAGATTTTTTTTCTGAAAAGAATGTCTAAAACAATTTTTTGTCATAAAAAAGATATTTTATTTCTAATATAAATGTTCCTATAATTAGACAATTAAAATAAATCGCCAATGTCTGAAATAGGGAACAAATTCAATGAATCTTATAGTATATATATTTTTCTGCTTTCTCTGTTAAAACAAATATCATTGAGGCCTAAATCAAATCTTTTAAGATGTTTTGATCAGTATATTTGATTGGTTTCAGCGCCCATGGTTCACTTTGATCAGATAACAATATGTTCCTCTGGCACATCTAAAAAAGATAAATTTAGTTCAATCCAGATCTGTGTGGAATACAGTGACATCTTTTCTGATGACATTCGTGACTATGTATAAATGTTTTAATGAATAAAAAGTATAACAGCAACATAACTTAATTTTGCATTTATATAAAGTTTTGTCATCCTTGTTTGATAACAAAGCGTCTGGAATTTTTGATAGTAATTAGGAAATATTACACGGTTTCAGCAATATAGTTTGACTATTTGACTCCTAATTTTTATTTATTTTATTACAACAATACTCGTATATATTAGACTTTCATGTAAATTAGTTGAATCTGATTCGTCAGGAAACATTTAATTTAAAAAAAAAAACCCACTTTTACCATTTGAATAATGAAGCCACGCCTTCCAACATAGCAACAGTTGAAATTGAATGACGATGGGTGCCATTCCAAAAAAATATTGACTGCGCAGAATTTATGCGCGCAAGGTAATATGTATTTTAAAATAACATTTAGTATGATATAATTAATACTGCATGTAGTTGAGTGTAACTTTGAAAATGTTCACCTCTCGAAATCCATTGTCGATCTCGGCTGCGCCTTGGTTGACAATGGTTTTCTTTGGGTGAAAATGTTCAATG